ATTTGTCTTGTGACGCCTGGGAGAACCTGCTTATCACTGCATTACCTATTAAGCTTAGCGTGGCCCTGAATGAAGAGAGCTGACATCAATATTCCTCATGGTGGAAAAGTTCTTTAAGGATTAGAGTGTGTCATACAACTGAAGGCGGCCTGCTTAATGCCATCATCATTTCAGATGTGCATTTATTGTTGTGTGTCTCTTACTGTACTTATTGTTGGTTTAACAAGTTGTGGTATGTGCTCAATTACAAATTCACATGAACATTTTCATCCATCCATCGATCCATCCATTTTCTACCCTTTAATCCATTTAGGTGCAGAGGTGGGAATTGAACCCACGACCTTCTGGCCTTAAGGCCAATGCTCTACCAACTGAGCTACTGTCGCCCTATGATAAATGAACATTTTCAACATGAGATATTGTACAATTTTTCTGACTAAAGCTGGATGTGTTGTTTTGAAGCAGATGGCCGCTGTGGAAAGTTAATTATTTCTTTCAGTGTTGAATCAGATAAAGGTCATTTGTAAGAACACAATACAGAGGCCATTTGGCATGTCTGATAAGAAGAAAGAAAATAATTTTGTCTCTAGCATTTTAGGAGCATCTACACATTATCTTTAGCGTTGGTGGAATCTGAGATGGATTGAACATACTGTATAACATTTCTATGCTCTTTGAAGAAAAAACTAAAACAATAGCCGTTTGTTCATAGCATCACAATCATTACCAGATCTTCTTGTTCTCTTATTCCTGTGCTTTAGACGACTCCAGTTTAAGTTCAGGTCAGACGTGAAATGAAAGTTACTCAAGTGTGTCGTAATACAAGAAAAGGCCAGATACTCCTGCTGCTCAATCTGCCCTAAAGCGTAACTCAGATGTTAGTGATTTGAGCTGTGTAGTCTTCTCCATCCTTCTGAATCTGACACAAATGGAACTCCTTAATAGTGCCATTGGAGACACAGACTGCAGAGATATGCCATCCACTCCCACCCAGCTGGCTTCAAAGCGTGGAGGGAGAGCAGACGGCGTGGGTGGGGTGCATGGGTGCAGGTGTAGTGGTTGGAGAACAGCCTTTCCTCTACTTTCCCTGAGCTGTGATGTGAGCTGCTTTTACAATCTGTCCATGTACTGTCACTCTTGGGGCACATGCTAAACAATTTAATATCACGTCTCTTTTATAACATAGTTTAAGATCAATATTGAGTGTGCAACGATGACACTGAAATTTCTCCACTGTGAGACTAATAAAGGTTTATCTTATCTTATCTTATCTTATAATGAGCCATGGATTTCAGAGATCCTAAAGCAGACAGAAGTGTGGTATCCTCTTTAAGTAATGCAAGTAGTTTTTTACAATAACATGTTTAAAAAAGTATGTACCTTTGTGATATGTACAGTACCTTTTTATATTAATGTTGGTTAATATCATTATGACATCTTCCATAATGTTTATTCTTACTCAGCTGAAAAGGTTTTAGTATTACAGTGCCACGGTCATATTCACGATCACTGTAGATTTCACTGCTGCATATCTCATACAGCTTCAGATTCATAAAGATGATACTTTATTGACCTGACTTGCCCCACTTTCTCTCCATGACCATTTTAAAAGCTCTCTTAATTAAAACAGAATGTAATTCTTAGCAGATGGCATGCACCGGATAGGGTAGTTATAGCCAAACGAACCATAGCCCTTTTTGACCTGAAATGAGGGGCCCTGTTCATGTCAGTGAGAAGATACAGCGACCAGTCAGTGTGCAGACATAAGTGGACTCTTGACTCCATCATGGCACATAAAAGAAACACATGCAGTGCATCACTAAGGATTGCTCTGTTTATTGCATTGATATTCAAAACAGGTGGTGCTTTGGGCGTTAGGACCTCATGCACCTTCATATTAAAGATGGGACTTTCTGATGGTATTGCCACAGCTCCTTTCCCATTCCCGTTTTAGTATCACCTGCAAAGGTCCAAACATCTGGAATGAGCTGGACAGTCCTATTACTCAATCAAAATCATTGAGAAGTTTAAAAAAAAGATTGAAACACAGTTTGCTCCAACATTATACAACATTATGAGCCCCGGGCTGAGAACTGTAAATGGGTAAAGAAACTTGTAATGTGTTTATTGTTTTGTTCCTGTATCATGGATGAAGTGAATTATTATGTGGCACGTTTGCTGTGTTAATATCAATGTGTAAAAAGTTACTGTACTATGTCTAAGACCAATCTATTGGAAAATTAACCGAATGACTGAGACTGCAATTGTGGGGACCTATAGATGGATGGGTGGGGTGTTTGTAAGTGGGTTTGGGATTGTGTAGTAGTATGGAATGTTACACTTGTTTCTGCATGTGTTGTTTTATGTGTTATGTGTTATGTGTGTCATGTGTTGTTTTTGGGGCCCCGTCTATAAGCTAATGCAGCTTCCTGGGAGTTCCCTTTTTACAAAACACCAACCAACACTACATTGTAAAAGTGTATAACCAATATGGCTACGGGTTTTGTAAATAAAAGAATTGAATTGAATTGAAAAAAAAAGTAAGATATTACATTTCCCAATGCATGATTAACACCTGAAAATACCTGCATTATTGTTCATCAAAAATCTACTAAACATTTGGTCATGATTTTCACGCACATACGGTCCCATCCCTAAAGGTTTATGATGGTGAGTGGAGCCTAGATCAAGTTGAGGATATGCCACCAAAGAATTATGCCGTATTTCTCGCTCAGAAAGTAATGTTTAGACAAAAAAGTTTCATTTTTATTTTTGACATACTAATCATACAGTGCTGCCAAGATGTGCTTTCAAACTCTGTAGCCTCGGGGAGTCTGCTGCACCACCTACATCTGTGATAAATGCCTCTGAAAATACATCTGTCTATGAGCATGTCAAGAAAACTCAGAGAAATGTGTCTTTGAACGCGTCACTAATGCCTTCACATTGGAGAGTGGTAGATTAAAGGCTGTCACAGTGCGCTCTGCTCTGGTCCATACTCTTCTGTCTACATCACACGAAGGAGCACGTCCAGACCCTCACAGAGACGAAAATGGAACTTAAGTGGTGCTGAGATGGTCTTCTGTGATCTTTGATAAACAACTATGTACCTATTAAAAAGACTGGAGCAAAGAGAGAAGATTAAAGCAGTTGAGTAGTCAGTTTGTTGATATACTTCTCAACTCACATCAAATAGTCGCACCTCAGATTGTGTTTTAGCATCATTATAATCCAGTTAATGATTACAATTATCCAGATTTGATTACATCATTTGTGTGCTTATGGTCAGATGGATCATATTTGGCATGCATACAACCCAAGAAATCATGGTTCTCATTTGCTTGTTTCACACATACAGTAGATGTAAAAATGGCCTGTTTAATGTCTGCCTCTGAGATATTCCACACTTTTCCATGTAATCATGATAATAATAATAATAATAATGCATACCACTTATGTACCACTCATGACATTACCAAAGACACTTCACATGGCATTGTTCATTACCTCAAAACTTTTACTGTGGCCATAGCTGCCCATGGGTGTAAATGTATAACTTCACTTACACACTCTTATGACACAATGTGGGTTGTGTCTTGCTTAAGTTTAGCACTTCACAGCTGCAGCCGCTCCTCTGTGGCACCTGATATTCCCAGTGGTCTCTCATCATAGTACTAACCAGGCTCTGTCCTGCTTAACTTCTGACGTGTGATAGGATCGGGCTTCACATGCAGGGGGTGTCACAAATGTTAAGTAGTTCTTCTATGGACTTTGTGTGGCTGTGTACTTTATAAGACCTCAGGTCCTGCATCTGGGGATTAGACGTTATGCATGCTTTAGTTCTGGCCTAATGCTGATGTTTAGTCATTTGTAAAAAATGACAGTTTCCCTCCCAAACATTTCCTGCGGTGCTGCTTCTCAAATACATTGGAGCAACTAGTTGAGTGCATTTTTGTTATTGAGACAAGGGCAGCTGGACCCATTTATTCTTTAGCACATTATAGAAACTATGATCTTATCTACCAACTGGGATAATGTTATTGCTTTGACTTTGGTCCTTTGACACAAGAGATAATTGCAAATGGAGAATTCAAACAAGATTTAAACCTGGAGACATGCCCTTTTTATCACTGGGTGGCTTTTTGGCAAATTGTCCCGCTGTTCTCTCAGCCGGGCTACCGTAAAACACTATATAATAATGTCAAAGGTGACTCTGGTTTCAAAGGCAGAATTCACTTCGACATAGCACTCATATCCTTACATGGTTCGGCCATTACTTGAGACAATATCTAAACGGTATGGAATATATCAATTAAATTGGAAATTCTGGTTTGTCACTCGGAAATCTTTTAATCAATATGCATAAAAAAGTATATTGGTGAATCTCAATTTATCACAATTTGCACCATAGCTCCATGTGTCTTTTTAAGTTCATAGATCTTAACAGAGGGTTTCACTGTCCACTTGTAACCATCTTAAAACAGTGGTGTGTGACAGCAGCAGAAGGACCAGTGCCTTTTCGCCTGCGCTCTAAGATCACAGCATGGAGGAAATTGAATTACCATGAATTACCATAAACTGTCCAGGGCATACAACTAAAGAGTGTAAGAAATGGTTTAAAGTAAATACTATTTTTTTTCTTTTAGTTTTATGATTGATGAGACTTTCAAAATTAGTACCAACCTTGTCCTTTAAAATCCCAGATCTAAGTTGTTATGGAGAATCAGACAAGTGAGATTGTGGAACAGAATGTGCAGCTTCTAAAGGATTCATGAAAATAGCTGAGGTGAAGATAATTAGCGAAGGATATCAGAGGAAATCGCAGTGAAGAGGCCGATTTGAGGAGTTTTATCTTAGACGATTACAGGGACAATGGCTGGGATTCAGCTAATGGAGCTGGTTTCGCTTCATCTAATTCAGTGCCTTTGTAAAGTGACCCGGACTCTTTCTGTGCCTTCCCTTACTCACGCTTTTATCTTTCTCTCTCTTTCTTCTAACAGCCAGGAAGACGTGTGCCCCAGAGGAGTTTGCGTGCTTCAACGGTCAGTGTGTCCCTGGACGCTGGAGGTGTGATGGGGAAGTGGAGTGTCCAGATGGATCAGACGAGGCAGAGGAGACATGCAGTAAGTGATTCACAAACACAACCCTGTATTAGGATTGCTATTCATCCCGCATGAACTTTTCCACATTTTGTCACATCACGATCATCTCAACAATAACAGTTTTATTTTTATTGATTGTGGAAGACCACTACATTGTGGTGAACAAACCAACTGCCTTTTGAATATTTGTCTTTGGTTCCACCAAAACATTAACAACTCAAATCCTGATAGGGCTTGTTGATGCAATGACACTAAAGAGAAGATTGCCACAAAGTCAACTTCATAAAATAAAAAACTTGACTGCCTTGGTAAATAAGTAGTTCTTAAAGTGGTTCTCACCCATGCACCTCGGAGCTTACGTCACTCACATTTCCTGTTCAAATCTTCCTCTAAATGGGCGTAGCCTGGAGGACTAAAGGGGGCGTGAACGAGACTGGGCCGTTTATGTAGCTCTGGGCGGGGGGCTGCTGACGTCAGGTCTTGCTACAGACGTCAGGTCTTGCTGCCGCGCCAGTGTTGGCGCCAGATTCAAAATTCAAATGTAGTAATACAGGTCGCCAGCAGATGGCGCCTCACAGATGGTTTTAGGCAGAAAGTTTGCACCAAAGTGACAAAATTATGACCAGGATATGTAGACAACACTATTGGACACTCATTTATACCGTTTATCAGCAAAAAAAAGTAGATTTGAGGGTGAGTTGTCCTTTAAAGATATTCAAGATATCTCCTTCCTGAGAGAAATTCAAAAGTTCCAGTGTAGAGGATGACGTCTTGGATCATTTTCCGAGACTTTTTGTCTCGGAAGCTCTTCATAGATGCAATCTTAAGACCAGGGGACCTCAAGGCAAAAAATGTTTAAAGCATTTCCTAAGCATCATGGCTTCACTCTGGCCCATCCAAGAAAAAAAGAGCTGAAGGAGTCCATGCGCTTCAGGCACTACATTTGTTTGCGGAAGACAATGGCATTGGATTGGTACTCATTGTACAATAAGTGTGGGTCGACTGATAGTGGTAATTCCCCTTCTGTAAATATGTCCATGTTTGCAATGAAATACATCAGCTCTGCTTTAGCTTTTTAAACAAGTTACAACTTTTAATTTTGCCTGTTAACTTCCAAACATTCAACTTGTTCAAGTTATTTCATCCTGTAACTATTGCTTTCAATGTTGCTTTGGGCTGGGATGGTCAAAAGTATTGGTCTAATACTGCGTACACCGTCACGCCCTCACCTTCCTCCTTAGCTGCTGCAGACCTGCATGCTAATGCAGCCCTTATCAGTGCTCTGGCAGCGTTGGAGAGTGGAGCCTGCCTGTGTCCACCCACACACCTCGCGCTGGATGCTGTCTGAGAGTCAGAGAGGCCTCCATTACCACTATGCCAAGCAGTTAGCGCCTCCAAACTTTGGCTGCTTTACTGTTATTCTGCATCTAGCTCACCAACAGATTTTTTGTTGAGAGTTAGCACAAGTCACTTCAAAGCAAAGTAAATGAAGAAACCAAAAGAGGATTTCCACCGTCCCCTTTATGTATGTCATCACAAAATTATGCCACACTTCCGGATCATTGTCTTCAGGTCACCGCTTAAAAACACATTGTACACATTTGGTATTGATCTCAGTTTCAACCCATATTACTTTATCAAGGTATTGATTTAAAAAGCATATATAAAACACTCCCTACAAAACACCAACATACTGTACATGAACAAATGGTTGTAGTAACTCGTGATAATTATTATAACATTAACTGACAAAGAATCAATGACAATGTCAATAAAAAAATCTAAACCTTTAAAAAAAAGAAATCGCATTTTACTTATCATTACGGCCTATAGTGGAGCAGGGCAGGTATTAGTTATTGGAATGGGTATCAGCCTCAACTACAAATATATAAACAGCATTTTAGAAAGTAACTGACACGGTGTACTGTATATTCACATTTGGGAGTACAGAAGCAAGGTTTGATTACTGTTTGTGTTCCATGGTGACATCAACAGTTCTTGGTGGTGGCTGCAGTTGTGCTGGTCAGACCTAATGAATAATGCATTCAGTGATGAGCCTTTTATGTCGCCCACAGAAAGTTGAGCCTACACACAATCACACAGATATTATTGAGAATCCAATTAAAGATAAATGAAGGAAGGATTCATCTCTTGGCTGCAGATTAAATTGATAGAGATTTTAATCTGAGGAGTGGAAGCTATTTATATGGAAATTCACATGACAGAAAGATGTTTTTTTAGGATATTTTAAAATTAAAATTGTTAATCAATACAAACTATTAAAGCAGCACTTTAACATTATTTTGTCACTCATGATTGTTTTTTGATCAATACATGCATGTTTAGATAAATATTCTCTTACACCCATGATACAATGGTGTCCATCGCACCCCTCTGGTTCCACTGCAATGCACCCACTGTTTTTATTTACTTTATCAGGCCCGGGCCCCAACAGGGGTAAGGGCCTATTTCTTTCCAAAGCCCAGACATTCTGACCCCAAGCCCTACGGCACGGAATAGCTTCACTCCTGCTGTTGAAATTAATGGGGTCCTATGAAGGTGACCTCATGATTTCGATGCACTTGTCAATCACCAAGATCACAATATTTGCGTTCCTCTGCTCGTCCGCTTTAAAATGGTGTATCATTTGTATTATGTTACCTTGAAAACCTACACTGTTTTAGCTCAAAGCGCTTTGAACCTTAATTTGACCCCATGGACATGCATGAAAAGTTGCCAAATTTTAATCAAAATTCAGAACCGGCAAAATGTTTTTGTTTTTTTATGGGACTAAAAATGGCAAAATAGTGCCACTACAAAAGTCTGTTTATATTGCGCCTATGGGAAAGGGTCTAAGGTCAACTCTGTCATAGAGCAACAAAATTCAGTACACATATTCATCAACTTAAGACGGGGAAAAAAAAAATTATGGCGACGCCTCCTGACAAACTGAAAGCCCATTCATTTCTATTCAATGGAAAAAGGAAAAAGTTAAATTGATATTTTTCACACATGCCGGTTGGAAATCAACTGAATTTCATCGATTTGGCTCAAAATTGCTCCACATCATCTAAACACATGTACCATTAATAGTTGGTTCCAGAATTTTGATAATTCATACGTTGTTTGAGCAGCAGAGCGGCAAAATGTGACTTTTTTTCTGTCAATTTTGATAATAGCAAACTTGCTCCTGTTAGGACATTTTGATCGTTTGTTTATCTCCAAGGCCTAGGTCATTTGAAAGTGAAAACTTTGAAATTGGCCCATTAGCACCTCCTACAGACTATGTTATAGTTTTACATGGGAATAATCATATTTTTTAACCCTGTTTCCGTGGCGATAACAAGCCCTCATTATTCTGTGTCAATGGGAAAATAGTTAAATCTCTCAAATTCACATCAACAAACCGGCTTCAGCCATTCCACCTGTATAGTTTAAATCCACTCCACCACATCTCAACAAGTGTAGGGCCAAAAGTTACAGTATCTGCAGATTTTTGATTTGACACAGTGTGTAAGTGGCGGACTCTTATATTTGAGACTATTGAAAGTTCCCATGTTAGCCAATAGAAACACACAATCACTGATCATAAGATTTCAAAATATACAGTGTGGCTCCCATCAGGGCTGTAGGATTATGGCGCATCAGTGCCCCCTTTTGCAGTGCAACGAGGGCCATTCAACGCCGCATGCGCTTTAATTTTAACTTTGTTTTAAAATTCATTGATATGCAGATTATTTGGCAGTGTTGGATTCTCATCTTTTCTCAATGGAAAATAAAAAAACTGTTGTTAATGTACTTTGGGGTCTGTCCTGAGCCTTTGATTGTTTTAATGTAACCACATTACACAGAGCGATATGGGGGGGACTGAATTTGAAAGTGGGTCTACACATATTTTTTATACAATCATTTTTAATTTAATATTAAGATTTCAAATGCAAGTGCATAATCATGAGTCCCCATGACTCATGATTACCATTACTCATGATTACCATTGGTTATGACTTTTAGTAATAAATAATGTTTGTTCCAAGTTTACAGCCGGACTCTGAGGAGCACAGGGACTGGACTCCTGTTAGTGCCCAGAGTCAGGACTAAACATGCTAAAATCTGCTACATGCTAAAATCTGTAACAGTCTTCCTGAAAGTGTGAGACAGGCCTCCTCTCTGACAATGTTTAAAACCAGGTTAAAGACAGTTCTGTTTAGCTGTGCATACAACTGAGGGATTTTATATTTTTATCTTTCTTTTTAAAATTTATGATTTTAATGCTTTCTTATTTTGTTCAGCACTTTGAATTGCGCTATATAGTAAGTAAGTAAGCTTTATTTATATACCGCCTTTCACAGACCAGAGTGACAAAGCGGTTTACAATTGTTATTTTTGGGCACTTGTCCTCTCACTCCACACAGAGATGGGAGCAGGGTCGCCGAACAGGAGACTCATGCCAGACCTATTGTACATATTTTTAGTTGTAGGGGAAACCGGAGTACCCGGAGGAAACCTACGCAGACACGGGGAGAACATGTACACTCCACTCAGAAAGGCCCTGGTCCGGCCGGAATTCGAACCCAGAACCTTCTTGCTGAGAGGCGAGAGTGCTATCCACTCAGCTACCGTGCCGCCCAGGCAAGGCAAGGCAAGTTCATATACAGTATATAAACTTTCCTTGCCTTATATCCTTATTCTGTCAACCTTTTTTCCCCTTTTCCCCTCTAACTTGCATAACTCTAAGCAGAATATAATTTTGTATTAACTCCGCTCCTATCCAGACATGTGACGTGTGTTCTGAATGAAAATGACACAGTGCATGCCCTCTATATTGTAAGAGGATGTTCTACTCCGACAGGGTGTGGGTTCCAGTTTGTGCTTCCACTTAAAGTTCTTCAAAGCTACTTTTCCATGATGTGAATAATAGTGACCAGCGAGGAGCATACATACCTCTGTTTAACATCTGCTAATTACGTGCAGCTCATGTGCACCTGAACGCATCACGCTCCACTTAAGCTTGTTAACCCAGC